AACAAAAACTTCAATTTTGCCAACAGCATTTTTATCTGTGGATAAAAAAAAAAAAAATGTTTAAATGTTAAAATTAGTACCAGAAAATAAATACAGCTAAGTGGGCAACTGTGTCCCACAAAATAGCACTTAGAGCATGCTTTGAACATGAGAACTGCAGGGTAACTGAAAGAAGAATGCACTTAAGAATGTATATACAGGAGAACGCTTCCATCCCTCACTTCAGAGCTGTATTACAAGGTGAATAAGCCTACAGAAATCACTCTGTAAGCCTGATCTCAAATACAGTGTACACTTGGTTAAAGTTCTAGGCAAAAGAGAAAATGCTTCTTTTCCTCAAAGTAGATATCTAGCTTGCCTCCCTGCAATTTTTTCTTGTATTTATAATCATCCTTGTGTAAGCAGATGACAGGAGAATTTGCTTGAAGAACCATCACAGGAAAAATGAGTGTTTGAAGATGTGCGGGTGGCTGCAGGAGTTACTCTGTTTTGAATTCTTCTGTATTAAATATGACTGACATCACTCACCTAATAGTTTTATCTGAGGGGGACAAAAGCAAAAACTGCTTAGGTTTTCTACATTTCTGCAACTGCTATCACACTTCTACTTTGATTTTTCTTTAAAGGATATTTTTGCATCTAAGAAATCTAATAAAAAGAAAAAAAAAAAGCTTTAAAAATCTTCTATCTGGTCTAGGATAAATTTTCAAGTAAAAAAATAAATAACTTGGCACAACTTCAGCTTGCATAGCTTGCATTCACCTGTAGCATCAAATGGAAGTGATGCTAAAAACAAACATGAATAACTGGCTTATACAAGAGTAGTCTGTATCACAGCCTTTACAATGAATGAGTCTTGATCTGGGCTGTTAGGCACACACCTGTAATACAAAGTGTTTTAAACTAAACACTAAAATAAATTATTCTTTAATAAATTATTAAATTATTTAATAAATTATTAAATAATAATTTAATAATTCTTTACAGAACTAAGAGAGGCCTCGAGATTAACTCCCCTTGTCCTTATGGGGGACTTCAACTTGCCAAACGTTAACTGGGAGTGCCACACAGCTGACACGAACAAGTCCAGGAGGTTCATGAAGCACCTAGATGATAACTTCTTGGTGCAGGTGCTAACGGAGCCAACTAGGAAAGGTGCCCTCCTAGACCTGTTGCTAGAAAACAGAGAGGGTCTGGTGGGAGATGTGGTGATTGGTGGCCGCCTCGGTCATAGCGACCATGAAGTGGTTGAGTTCAAAATTTACGGTGACAGAAGGAAAAGTGCCACCAAAACCTCATCCCTAGATATGGGGAAAGCGGACTTCAGGCTGCTCGGGGAACTAGTCAGCAAGGTCCCCTGGGAAGCTGCTCTTGAAGGCCTTGATGTCCACCAGTGCTGCTCATTCTTTAAGCGATGCCTCCTGGAAGCACAAGATCAGGCAATTCCTAAATACCGCAAGTCAGGCAGGCGCGGCAGGAGGCCGGCGTGGCTGACCAGGAACATTCTTATGGAGATTAGGCGGAAACAGAGAGTGTTTCGCTACTGGAAGGAGGGCCAGGTGACATGGAAAGAATACAGGGATGCTGTTCGTGTTTGTAGGAAGAAAATTCGTGTGGCTAAAGCACACCTAGAGTTGAAGCTGGCTGTGTCTGTGAGAGAAAATAAAAAGGGTTTTTTTAGATATGTGAATGGAAAAAGGAGAACTAAAGAATACATAGGGCTGCTCCTTGATAGGGAAGGTCTTCTCACAGACGATGACATAGGCAAAGCAGAGACGCTTAACGCCTTCTTTGCCTCTGTCTTCAATGACGATGATGGGCTTTGGGACCCAGGGTGCCCTGAGCTGGAGGACCGGGACGGTGGGGATGACAAACTCCCAACCGACCCTGAACGTGTGCGGGATTTGCTACTCCACCTGGATCCCTACAAGTCCATGGGTCCAGATGGGATTCATCCCCGGGTGCTGAAGGAGCTGGCGGACGTCATCGCGGAACCTCTCTCAATTATTTTTCAACGATCCTGGGAGTCTGGAGAGGTCCCGGTAGACTGGAAGCTGGCAAATGTTGTGCCGATTTTCAAGAAGGGTCAGAAAGAAGACCCTAGCAATTACAGGCCTGTCAGTCTCACGTCAGTGCCTGGTAAAATCATGCAGAAGATGGTTCTCGAACTTATTGAGGCGCACCTGGGGGACAAAGCAGTCATTGGTCCCAGCCAGCATGGGTTTGTGAAGGGTAGGTCCTGCCTAACTAACCTGATTTCCTTTTATGATAAGATCACCCGTATGGTGGACCAAGGGAAACCAGCTGATGTGATTTTTTTGGACTTCAGCAAGGCTTTTGACACGGTTTCCCATAGGATCCTACTGGACAAAATCTCCACCATACAGCTAAATAAAAACATCATACGATGGGTGAGCAATTGGCTAACGGGCAGGGCCCAAAGGGTTATGGTGAATGGGGCTGCGTCAGGCTGGCGGGCGGTCACCAGTGGGGTCCCTCAAGGCTCCATTTTAGGGCCGGTACTTTTCAATATTTTTATAAACGATCTGGATGTAGGAATACAAGGTATTTTGAGCAAGTTTGCTGATGACACCAAACTTGGAGGAGTTGTGGATTCGAATGAGGGTGGAAAGGCCTTGCAGAGGGATCTGGATAGGTTGGAGAGCTGGGCGATCGCCAACCGCATGAAGTTCAAGAAGAGCAAGTGCCGGGTCCTGCACCTGGGACGGGGAAACCCTGGCTGCACGTACAGACTGGGCGATGAGACACTGGAGAGCAGCCTAGAAGAGAGGGATCTGGGGGTCGTGGTAGACAACAAGTTGAATATGAGCCGGCAGTGTGCCCTGGCAGCCAGGAGGGCCAACCGTGTCCTGGGGTGCATCAAGCACGGCATCGCTAGTAGGTCGAGGGAGGTGATTGTCCCGCTCTACTCTGCGCTGGTGCGACCTCACCTCGAGTACTGTGTGCAGTTCTGGGCACCACAGTATAAAAAGGACATGAAACTGTTGGAGAGTGTCCAGAGGAGGGCTACGAAGATGGTGAAAGGCCTGGAGGGGAAGACGTACGAGGAACGGCTGAGGGCACTGGGCCTGTTCAGCCTGGAGAAGAGGAGGCTGAGGGGAGACCTCATCGCAGTCTACAACTTCCTCGTAAGGGGGTGTCGAGAGGCAGGAGACCTTTTCTCCATTAACACCAGCGACAGGACCCGCGGGAACGGGGTTAAGCTGAGGCAGGGGAAGTTTAGGCTTGACATCAGGAGGAAGTTCTTCACAGAGAGAGTGGTTGCACACTGGAACAGGCTCCCCAGGGAAGTGGTCACTGCACCGAGCCTGACTGAATTTAAGAAGAGATTGGACTGTGCGCTTAGTCACATGGTCTGAACTTCTGGGTAGACCTGTGCGGTGTCAAGAGTTGGACTTGATGATCCTTAAGGGTCCCTTCCAACTCAGGATATTCTATGATTCTATGATTCTATGAAACTTTCTTCTAAGGGGAAATACTAAAAGGACACACTTTTCAGTCTTTCACTTTTAAAGCTCGTAAAATTTTAACCATCCCAGTTGGTTATCACATCTCTAGCCTATATAAATCAGAGCATTGTTTTCAGTGAATAAAAACACCTTGGCACACAACCGTATTGTAGTGGTATGATGCATGCCGAAATATTCCTAAGAATGTCCTTAGAGGTACTCTGTGACCAGAATTATTCTGTGGAAGGAAAGATGAGGGAGCACAAAGGCCCATTGTGCACACTAATGCAGAAAAATGAAATCATATACCATTCTCAGCAAAAGCAGAGTGTCTTCTGAGCAAAGGCTATTAAGCGTGTCAGGCTGCAGGATATTTTCTGGACATGGCTATTATGTTAAGACATACTGAACACATGTCACTTATAACCCTGCCCTGGTTGTAACATTACAGCTCCAGAGGAAAAAGTCTGGTGCATCAATTCTTTGTATCAAATACTTACACACACTTCTACTCTCACCAAGCTGTCACTTCTCATTTGTAAAGAAGGCTAGAGTAAGTTATAATTAGTACTTACTGCCCTGTCAACTAATTAAATGTAATAAAAAGCTTTCAGTGAGTTTAATGCTAACGTGGTAATTACAGACGGGTTCTGAATGCAGGGTACATGTATTATAGGTTTCGGTATGTGTCCCCGCCTTCCATGACCTAAATTCTCCTGCTACACCACTGTACCTATTATGTGATTAGACAACAAGCACTGCCAAATACACCTTACATACAAGTCATGCCTGATCCAGTCCTCTGCATTTTTTGAGGCACTGCATCAGCCACAGGGGGCACAGATGCAGAAGAAAGAGCTGGCACAGTTGCTTGCTTCCATTCCTCTTCTTCCTTGCAGGAGGTACCATTGCTCATATTCTCCCATCCATGAAACTCCCACCACCCTCAGCCCTTTTCCACACTTTTGTGACTAAAATGACGGCTGAGATTTCAAACCACTTCCAACCCCATCTCTTTGTCAGTCAGAGGAGCACCCAGGGTAGATGGGTGTGCAGCTGCCCTGCTTGCATACCTGTGGGGCTGTCTCTATTCCTCAGAGAGCAAGAGCAATGCCACACAAATATGTGCTACCCAGAGGAGTAAGGAATACTGCTCTGGAGGCCCAGAGCAGGTCAAAAGAGATGATGGAAACCATGTAATGCTCCAGCACTTTTTTGGCATAGTTCCTTCTTCTCCTAAGTATTTGGAAGAACTATGAACACATAAATAATAATAATAATAATAATAAATAATAATAATTTTAAACAAAAAGAAAAAAGTGAAGAGCAGAGCAGCCAGAGTTTAGATCAGCCAGGATGTAGGTCATTACAGCTCTAGGTAGTCAGTCATTGTGCCCACTGCATTCTTCACACTTTCCCACTCATACTCCACATGGCTTTACATTGACCACAAATATGGAAGGTAGGTACAAATAGCCCCTAAAATAAAGACGTAATTAAATGAACAAAAATATAGCCTAAGAGAACCAATTAAAATGATGAAAATCTTTAATTTTATTTAAGTATAATTGTACGGACACGTGTATATACAAATACAGATCTTATGGGGCAGGGTTTTTTTTTGTTCATTTGTTTTTTGTTGTTGTGTTTTTTTTTTGTTTTTTTTTACATTTTCTTTTAAGTTCATATAATGTAAGCATTTCAAAAACAGCACTCAATGAATAAGTGCAAAGAAACTGCAAAGCAGGGCAGTACAAGCACAGGACCACACTGAGCTGGACTTTCATACCCAGATGCATACACAATGAGTGGCTTCAATGGGGGTGTCAAGAGTAAGCATGGAAAGCGGATTTCGCAGACTCATGGGTAACCTCCAACATGCCAGCATCTATTAAACTGTACAGACAATGGCAGCAAGCCTATTGTAGGGAGATTTGTCTCACATCCGAGAAGCTCGAGGGCGAATGCATGGGAAAAACTCAGTGATGCCAGGCCAGAAACAGATCTGCCCTTTCACAGCTCCAAATTAAAAAAAGGACAGGGGTGGGAGAGGAGGAAGGGCAGGAAAAGGGGAGAGAAGTGTGGAGGGTTGTACAGTAAAACTGGCGATTACAAAATCCAAGTGTAATGAATGGAGGGGAAGAGTTAACACATTTTTCTAAGTCTCTGAAAGTGACTGAACCATTGCTCTCACTAGGCAATGGATTAAGTTCAGTTTTGACAACTAGGGGTGGGAATCAACAGGTACAAATACAACCATTTTCCTTCCACAATTATATAGGAAAGGAAACAATCTACTCGTCTACTCTCTATACCTCCCAAATTTGTTTCTAGTTGTTTTGGAACCAAGTACATACGTATAGCGCACATGACACTGGCAAGATCCTTTCTGGAAAAAAAATAAAAAAAAATAAAAAAATAAAAGACTATTAATGGAAACAAAATCAGAGGGAAAACAAGAGGAAAAAAAAAAGGCTTAGAAAAAAAAAAAAAAAAGAGAGAAAAAGAGTTGTTATATCCCCAAAGTGTTTTTAGAAACAAACATGATACAAAAGAACAAAAACTAACACAGAAACCACAGGGCTCCAATATCAGACCTTTAAACACTGAAGACAAAACATTGATCATCAAAAGTCATGTTGTTCCAGGTCTCGACAATGTGAAGTCTTGCAATAGATGAACAATTTCCAAAGATGAGTCCTGTATGCTGCAGTGTCATGGCCACTTGTCTCTCAGTTCTCAGCCATGATCACACTTGATGCTTCAAAGCTCTGTCTTGTAATCAACGCGTGATTTTAATATCCTGAAATTCTATTGTTCTCACTTACAAAAGACATAAGAATCAAATTAATACTTTATTATCAAACACTATATACAACAGAGGTTGCTAATAATACAGAATTTAAAGAACATAGCTTTAAGATTTACTTGTCTTTCCTTTGCCATCCAAGTAAGTACAGTACAAAACAATATTCTAAACTAACACGAAATGTTACCTTGTCTATTAAAGGATACACGGTATCCACTAAACCCACCGATCCCTATTTTCCCTGCTTTGCATTGCAGTGGCCTTGGCAGCCAGGAGTGCAAGCCATGGGGGTAAGCAAGCCACCGAGGCTGAGGGAGAATCAGTTCCTCAAGCCTGAGAAGGGGCAGGCAGAGTGGAGGGGAGCAGAAATCTCCTTGTAGTTGGTGTCAACATCTGCATTCAGAGCATCAGAGATTTGCTTTGCAACACAAAACCCATCAGTACTTCTATGACTGGGATTGCCTGATGCCATCAAGTACTGAAATGGCAGTGTCTTGTAGTCTTCTGGCCACCCCGGGCAGCACAGAGACCTGCCTTGCAGCTGCACCACTCGTGTTGTCCCTCACCTACCCATCAAGGCTCTGTAATAAACTGAAGGGCTGAACTGTACCTGAAGCAACACCGCTGAAAAGTGTCTGCTGTGGATAAGTGTACATCCCAAACTCTGACGTCACTTAGAGACAAAGGATGGAAAATGAAGCCACCACTTCCACATGAAATTTACACTGCTGGTACAACTGTTTGTAATTGTTATGAATCATTTAATAGGGTTACCTATCATGCAATATTATCAGTTAATAATCCATTTGTTGAGGTTCATTTTGACTAAACTCACTTCATCCACAGCTCTTTAATTCCTACTTGAATGAAGTATTAGCATGTGTACCAAGCACATTCATGCTAAAGAGTGGAAAGTACCAGCTAGATTGTAATGGGATGCTGGCTGACTTCCCTCACTGTTTAGACTACATATCTTTTTTGTGTGCACTTCACACTAGAGGAAATTTCCTACATTCCTGCTGTAAGCACAGGCCCTGCAACAAGAACCTTGTTGTATGGTATCAGGCAAGCTCAGATTGTGGTTTAGCATGCATAAAGCCTCCCTGTATATCTTAAATTGATTTCCCCTTTTCCTCCTTTATTGAATAGTGAGCTGCTTACAACTTTAGGAAAGCTTTTCCTCTTTAAAAAGAAAAAAAGAAAAGAAAAAAACAACAACAACAACAACAAAAAACAGCCAACCAAGTGCTGTCTGCTGTTGGTATCACTCAATTTTGTTATGCCAGAGTTTTTCTTCAGAATATAGAAAACCCTTGTTTTGTTTGAATGCGCTCCATGTTTTGTTTCGCATTTAACAATTATCACAGTTTTTGTTTAGAAAAGCTTTGTTTCAGTCTTGGTTTGATATTTCCCTGATTATGCTTAGCAGTTCGAATTTCATGGCAGCCTAGACGAAAAATACCCCAAGGCTTGCACTTCCTGGCAAATGACTTTTTCAAGCTCTACCATAGCCAAGGCTCAGATTCCCTAAACAGGGTCACTCCCAATTCCATCAAACAAGACAGTCCCATTTCCTACTTGCATCAAGGCGTACCACTTTTCTCACATGTTTAAATAGGACAAGCATATATACTCACTCTCAGCATAAAGTATATCTAAATAATGTATTTTCTATTCTAGTGGATTTTTAAAAAAATATTTTGTTAAGTCTTTGGGAGCCCATCTAGTTTATCTCTGGCTGATAAACACGTTTCCTCTACTCTTCAAGCTGTGCTGGAAGGGGAAAAGATAAAAAAATCAACACTTGAATTCATATTCCACACTTCTTTTCTTTCCCCCCACCAAACAATGCTACTAAACTGTTCTGGCTTCTTTTACTTGTGGTTTATTCCCATGACTGAGGAACTTGCAGGAGAGACAAATCGAGCACACTGGAGATCCTGTGTCCCAAACATGATTCCTCTGGCCACTGATGTCCTCTCATAGCATGTATTAACACCCAGAGCAGCATCCAAGGCTATCAGCTACTAAGTCAGCGCTGGGGAAGGTCACTTTATTCTGAAAGGTGCCTCTGCATTTCAAGAAAAAAATTGTAGCACCACGGTGATTTCTTTTAAAATAAAATAATCCGGTGTGCATTATCCCCTTAAAACGAAATAACAGAGGCACTCACACCCCCAGTGAAGTTTCCTAAATCTGACCTTGCCTGCTGTGTGCTAACATTTTTAAATACTAACCCCTTTCTCTCACCAAAGACAGCGTTTCTACTTGTGAGCATGAATTTTACTGTCAAAGATGTTTCAGGACAGTTTGTAAGAAACAATATCTTCCCCTTTCAGAAGCCTGTTCATTTAGAAACTCCTGGAGGAAATGGTGTTATATTATATCTGTTCTTAATATTTCCCCTCCAGTCCTGACATCGTGACACGATGCCTTGCATGATCATCTTACAGTGCTGAACTAGAAGGCATAAATATTGTATTGGAGAGAAAACTCTCCCAGGCTTTCACTCAGTTTCTTTATCCTTCACTGACTGCATCTGCCACTACTCTTCCTTGTCTACACACGGATGACACAGTGAACTAACAGAGGTGACTTCTTAAAGGAGAATGCAGAGGAAAATAAGAATCACTAGTGTCACTATTATAGTTTGGCATTTTCATTTGGAGTCCTTTTATTTGTATGGAGGGGTTAAGAAAGTCACAGGGTAGGTAGGGACAGGTGCTGAAGCTAGTTATCCCCTTCAAATTTTTGCTGAGTTCAGGCTAAAAGGGAGAAGAACAGGGAAAAGGGAAAAATAACAATTTGACATCTGCAAAAACAATAAAGTCCCTTTCTTGGGATGAGCAGTTAGGTGGATCTTTGATGTTCCAAGACCCTGATATTTTCTGCGACAGGTTGCTGGAGCATACTGTGCTATAATATCAAAAGCATTGCCAGGAGGAACAATAGAGTTGCCAAAAGCCGGCTGGGTATCCTCGGTGTCTGTGCCGCATTCTCACCACGGGATGGCTCGGCTGACTCATGTACTGTATCATCTGTTCAAACAGAAAGCATACATTCCAATGAGATTTTGCATCCTTAATAAACTCTCACTGAGCTGACAACTGCAAGTAGATTTCAGTGCCTTTATGAAATAGGGCAATGAACCTTGTGCTGTCATTGACTTTCACAACCATGTAATACCTCATTATGTAGCCAACTTGGGGCCAAGTCCTGCATTTCTTACTGGCAAAACTCCCACTGAAGACCAGAGGAGCAGAAAGTTAAGCCTGACTGCAGCAGACTAAGGAATGAAAGATTCCTACTCTAAGAAAATACTGTAGCTCCAGATTTGGATGGTTTATTAGAAAGCAATGTCAATAGTGAGGCAGCTAAATAAAAACACCTGATTTTCAAAAGGGCTCGAGGAAGAGTTTCATGTGCTTAGAATTAATTTCAAAGTTAATCCCATTCCTGAGTTACAGATTTTGGCTCCTGAATTACAAAGAATAGCCCATAAGTGCAAGCATTTATTCCACTTCTACACACCGAATTTCCACTAAAGTACACTTCATTTTGGGATGTGCAGGGGATATAAGACTAGTCTTCCTTTCTCAAAACAGAATTTTGAAGGCTAAGACAGTCTCTGATTGTATACAATACAGGCACAATCCCAAAATCTCATACATAGCAGACTACTTTTTATGGTACACAAAATACAGATTTACATATGTACTGATAAAACTAATGAAAAAATAACTACCTGGGTTGTGAAAACATGCTTATGTATAGGCACCAGAGGAGAATACAGTCAAAAACACTCTGATAATTTTATTACACTGAATAAAGATCTGTTTATTTATTTATTTTTTTAAATTAAAAATCAGCCTTAGAGCTAAAACTTGTAAAAAAAAAAGATATATATATATATATATAGGTAAATTCAGATTCAACTTTAGTGTTGTTATAAGTATGGTGTTTTTCTTTGCAAAATCCCCTATATCCACAGCTATCTAGTTTAACTAATTTAAGAGCAATCTGAGGCTTGCCATAAAAAGTCAGCACTGTGTTTGAATTTTCTTAGTATTAAATGAACAAAATGAGCTAAACCTTTTAAGGAAGTGTGAAGTGGCCTCAGAATGAATTCATAAGCTATTTTAGGATGCCTAAGTTTCCAGGAAAATTAACAGTATCTCACAACTTAGTGTAATAAGCTTCCCCATTTTAATAAAGTTGTTTAAATACCTGTGATATATTTGTTTCAGAGCTCCCATTTCAACAAATTGCGCTTCCAGGATTACAGAGGATGAGAACTGTGTGATCACAATTAAAGACACTATGGGAAGTGGAAGGTACAGCACCAGGATCACCAGGCAACACTGGTGTGGAGCCTTCCACATTACTTAGCTTCAGTTAGATCAAAAGATCCCCTTCACACCCTTGACACCTAGCACAGAAGCAGGTAGAGCACTTAGCGTTATTTGGGTTAACAGGCTCTTTGACTCCAGTCCAGTTTCACTGGGAGATGCACAGTAAACTGGATTAGCAACGTCACATTTTGTTCAGCACTGATGCTGCAGTTGTGTCAGGTCTATCAGCATGTCCTTGGTGCTATTCAAAGCAAAAGTGTGAAAAGCAAGCACTGATCAGTTGTGAACATGTTCACATTTGCAAGAAAGGGACAATTAAAGGGCTGGAAAGGGCTATTTAAAGCTGCTAGTTCTGATGGTTTTCAGAACCAAGAGCTGTTCCGTATTTCACTTGTAAGTTACTTACACTATTGTGCTTCAGTGGCACTGCAATGAGAACACAGTACTTCACAGGAGCAACTTCCCCATTAAATCATACCCTAGGAAGGTGTGGGGAGAAGATATCCCTGTCCTACCTGTCAGCTCTATCTCCTTTGATATACATAGAGTTGGCTCTGCCCAATTTGGAGACATGTACTCACCACTGATGAACTAAAAGTACAGGGGAGAATGATGTGAACTATCATCATTCCTCTTGCATCAACAGAATTGCAAGTAAGTCCTAATTTGCAGACTGAATGTTAACATTTTTTACTAATTATATCCATGAGTCAGGACTAAAACACAATAGGGCAGAACTAGTGTGAAGCAGCAATAAATCCTAATTCTCTATGACTCTCAGCTCTCACGACTGGAACACTGAGTACTGCTAACAAATCTCAACCAAAAAGGTCCTAAACTAAAAAGATTAATTCTTAAATTAAAAACGTGGAAATCTTCTATGATGCCATAAAAAAAAATAAATAAATAAAATAAAACTCTTCACAGGGGAATTCATTTAAGGGTCTCCTTACAAGAAATCATCAGAGCTTTCTGTCAATGCAGTCCCAAGGTGTCTGTGCTCATATATTACAGCACACATTTCATCTGCAGTTCTCAAAATCACTTTACAAATACGATTTTCCTTAGAGGTGCAGGTTTATAAAATCTTTAATGCTTAGGCTGAAGGTTTGAGTTTGTTTTAGACAATGAAGGCAAGTGACAAATATGACAAAATTCATTAATAAGATCTGGAAGGTCACTGCTAAGGACTGGGAATACTAGCGGTAATTAGAAAAAATTATTTTGACAACCATGAATTTTCCAGATCACATAGCTTTACATTATATGCATCAGGTGTAATTATTCCACAGATGCAATTTTTGTTTTAGGGACAGAAGGGGTGGACAAGAATAGGGATGATTACTTCAATAAATTCTGAAAGAAGAGTGATCTCTACAAATCAGTTTCCTCCAACTTTCTGAGCAAAACAAGTGAAATCATAAAGCTTCAAAAATCACTTTTTTTTTTTTTTTTTTTTCAGAAGAGCGGTCACAGTAAGTAATCTGCTGAATGTGATCTTCCTGCCTCCTCGTTCTCCTGTGTACTGCAGGAGAAGATGGTGGCAGGCATGGGAGAGCACACAAGCAGAATATGAGCGCAAGAGGCAGGTAGGTGAGTACATATTACAGATTACATACAAGATCCTCCACTGCGGCAGCAGCAAGCCTAACAACCTCATAACGGGAAAGCATGATAGCAGTTAGTAGATCTCAGAATGACTGATTATCTGATGGTGACTGGTCCAAATAATAATGCAAATAAACACTGATCTTGGGAGTGTCAACATTTTGATACCTGAAAGGTTCAGAATGAAAACCTTCTCTTTAAGGGTATTATCTCCCCCTGGTAACAAAAACAGCATTTCATCTCAGACTGCAGGATACTCTTTGTATGATTTGGGTTCTCTGTTTCACCTGCTGCTTTCTAACAACATGCTTTTGTGACGGTGCTAGCTAGGTATAGCCATTCAATGGGAAGCGAGCAGTACTGCTGAAAAGAATATACAGTGAGGTCACTACTATCAAATGCTTATTACTCACGTGATCTTTTTTGCAAATGAGTACCAGGAGGAATACACTTCAATTAGCCCATGCACCAATTCAAAAAGTGTAAAAGAGTGCACTGAGTTTCTAGATTCATAGGTTACCTAGAGATGGGAAATGATCATCCTAATGCCTCCTGTAGAAGGTGAATAATATTAATGAAAGTGCAAATGCATCTCTGCTGTAAATGCACTCATCTTGCATATATATTTGCTTAGAGAACATCCCTGATTCTCAAAATCAAAATTTTTAGGTGAGTTCTGAAAACCCTCTCAAAGAAAAATATAAAATTATACTGTGTATTTATCGGTAGATCATTCAAACTGTGGAAATCTTATTAATACTTCTGCCTAAATAATGGCTTTTAGTTAAAGAATCAGAAAATAACAAAACAATAAATAAATAAGTAAATAAATAAATAAAAGGCAACAATAAACAAAACCAAGGGAACAGTCTCTTTCAAATAACATAACATAAGACAAAAGAAAAAAAAAAAAGATCTTGGTAATCTGTTCTTCAGGGTAAATACTAAATTTTAAACACTTGTAATGTTTATGGTATCATTTGTTTATTTAACTGTGCTTTTTAATTATTGAGGTTTGAACATAGCAATGTGTGAACAGCGTGTTACAAATAAAACAAACAGATAAATACTATTGCTCATACTTGCCCTACATACCCACCTAATTTTAATGTCATGAGACATCCCATTGAGGTGGATGGGATTACTCACACCCCTAGAGTTAAACATGCTCCTATCTGTCATAGACCTGAGTCATACAAACATACACATGCACTTCCCACACAGACCCACACAGCTTGATGGTGGAGGATAATACAACTTTTCCCTGTGTAGATAAGGATTTCTTTCTTGTATAAAAGAAAGTATTATTCTTATTTTTAAAGGCAGCATTTTGGGGAACAAATGAAAAAATGACAAACCAAACTATTAAAATAAATTAAAAAAAAAAAAAAAAAGTTAAACCAAACAAAAAAAGTCAACCACAGATTAAAAATATATATATATATCTTAAGTTTTCTAGAACAGGATAGAAATTCACATTTATCGGTGTGTGTGTTTCTTTGCACATGTAAAAACAATACTTTGTCTAACAAAATATGCATATATGTATGTTATTCTAAAGGACTAATTTCTTACTTAAACACTAACTCTATCAGCTGCACGCCTGTGTCATGCGCTAGCATTAAACAAGCAGTGGTTCTATTTCTTTCAAAGTCTTTTGACATCACAAAACACATGAAGTGTGCCCATTGACTTACTTTCTAAGACTTCGGTCCCAGTCAAAAACTAGAATGGTCTGTAAACATGCTGAATGTTTGGCTTGGATGGACCAGCAAGTTCATGACACCAATCAAATTTTATGCTGGCACACACCATATTTTATTAAACTGCATAAATGAAAAAGCAACATTTTTCCTCCCCTGCATTAAGTAAGGAGACAGGAAATATATCACAAGTGATATTAGCACTGCTAGAAACGAGCAAAAGCAGAGCAGTTATACCATGCAAAGCATGCAGAGAGAAGAGGAAAAAAGTACTCAAGCACCAGAGGGATACACGCATTTTTTAAAAGAGATTCTCTAAGCATACTAACCTGCTGGTTCTAATGAATTTTCTACTTTGTCGTTAACATCGAAAACACGATCATGAACACCTATAGTTTTCATACAGCTGTCTATAACAAAAATAGAGATAACAGCCAAATATGTTAGTGAGACACCCTTAAACTCCCCACTTTCTGTTTTTTTTTCTCTCTTTTTTTCTCTCTATTGACTGTATATAATTAAGCATATTTATATTTTAAAGTCTGTGGCACATATCCATATGCCAGTGTAGTCTTCCATTGGTACAACAGTTTAAGAAACAACAAGTTAGCAATTGCCATGTAATTAAAATAAAGCCTTATGAAAAATGATAAGAAAATATGATGAAAACCATAACACAAATGTTGCTGTACAGAACAGATACACAAGATTTAACAGTAAAAAAAAAAATTGAAAAAAAAAATTACTGCTGTTAACTAGACCACACAGTAAAGCATGCGCTACAAAGCCACCCTCAAAAGCTTAATCTAAAGAACTTACTTGCTGGTCGCACAAAGACTTTAAGCTTTAGACAGGATCTCCTTCCATTATCTGGAATCGCAGAAGCTGTAAATGGAGAAGAATAAGAGAGAAGTGAAAGAGTAAGAGAGAGAAAATGCATATGATCCTTTGTCCTAAAATCAAACACCCTTTATCTTCCCTTCATCTGAAAGGTTGGACACATTTCAGCCTCTGCATCTAAGGACTTCAAGTGTGCAAAGTGGGTTGATAATGCAAAAGCAGGGAAGCAACTGCAGATTTTACTATAATCTCTTTTTTGATTTTTTTTTTTCATAGGAGAAGTGAAGCACATGATATTCATAATGTTTCATTATCTCCTCTCACCTTTCCACATGTTTTTTTCAAGGGAGAGCTTAATAAGGTTTCTGCTGTAGTGCATGTGTCTACCTTGAAAAATTACACTTTATAATAATTAAGATTATTTATAGGAAAGCTTGTCTTGAAATGGTAGGCCATAGGCTTCAGTGACCCATAAAGGAATGAAAAAAAAAAAAAAAAAAAGACAAAATGACACTGAAGGTGACAATGCTAAAAATATAAATACATACTTACCTCCATGAAAGTAAAAATACACCCTGTTAAATACATGCACTACATTCTACTGCAAAATCAGCCTCTGTATTCTCCGCTTTGTTGAGAAAATTCTTATTTAGCTTTAGTCAAAATATGATTCCCTATGTTACATAACAAACAACCAGCTTATTCCTTCTTTCTGCCCTCCTCCATCATTTGCCATTCAAACTATTTCTTTGGAAGAGTATGAGGAGACAAAAAAGAGTAAACGATGTCTGGCACTGTACAAAAGATCATACATATAAGTCTAGCATCAGCATGTACTTATTTCTGAAAAACAACTGCTGCTTTGAAAACTTCCTTTTGGGAACTATGCTTGTCTCAAAATACACGATCACAGGCAAACATGCCAAGCTACCTGACTTGGGCATGCAAATATTCACGTGGGAAGACCATTTGCACACACATTTTTTTTTGCCCTTGTAAAAACCCTCAAATGCCTGAAATGCTGCCTGAAGCACCTAAAATCATTTTTATTTCATTGCATAGCCTTCTCTGTCATCCAAAAAGCTATGCACTAGGGCAGAACAAGTTGACTTTTGCAGAAAACTATTGAAAACTGTCTGGATTTACAAAAGATGATTGGACTGGCAATCCAAAAATTAATTTGTCCTGATTACCACAGTTTCATCCATGTTTTTCCATTATGTTCCTGTTCATGACAAATAGCTAAAAATATTTACATACATATGTATGTTACAGACGTATCAACACACACTCTTTGTCTATGTGCCAAGCTCACACTTGAAGAGCTCCTCAGCTAACTTGAAATTAATTCTGGTAGCCTTTGATGATACATTTCCAAAGCAGGCATCAGCTTTTTCCTACACGGAAGAACTAGCAGATTTAGTAGGAACACAAAAAAGAAGCAAAGTGAAAGTCAAACAGAACTAAAGCTGTGGTTCTGCACCTGTTGGGAAGTGCTTGAAAAATCATTTCCCTCTTTTAATCACAAAACAAAAGTGTGTAGAAATGATGCTCCCCCCTTCACACTGACAAGCAGTTAAGAAGTGCTAACAGCTGGCTTTGCTGTAGGCTCTTACTAAATCAAAGTCAGAAAAACTCCCTCTACCGACATTTACAGTAACTGATGTGTTATTTAGGGCACAATATTTGCACTCTGTGGTTATATTCAGGAAATTGTGTCCTTTCTGTGGCCCTCTCTGAGTATATGCAAACAGCTTTGCTCAGACTAAACAGGCAGTTGTGGATTTCTCAAAAGATAAGAATTCTATTATTACCGTATTGCTAACATAAAGGTGGAAATGACATTTCCAATATTAACCAAAATAGAGAACATACAGTAGTTATATCACCAACAGATTTTTTCCTGCTCAGAAATTATTTCAGAAGTACATCATGATACACATTTATTCAAAGGCACATTTTATCTTTGACATTTACATGCTGCTGTTTATGTCCACAAAACAAGCATGTTTGGGCTCATTGGTGTTTATTAGCACACCCTTTTAGCACTAGCACTGACTAACTACAATAGCTAGGATCAAATAATATTCCATCTGGAAAATCAGAAAATGAATGTTCTGTACATATAAAGTTTATATGTGCATATAATATTTGCACACTCTTAAGAGCAAACAACAGCTAGTGATTAGCAATGTTCTCTGGGAGAAAATTTTGAAATCTGCCCTCTGCTTAAATCTTCTTCTGTCACCATTCCTTACATAGGGTTGCATATAATGTGCTGTATCATGAGCTGCAGTCCTTTTGCAATCATAGCAGTTACATTTAATTCATCATCCTTGAAACTAATACGGTTTTAGCGATAAGTATGAAAAAGTGCTTTTTCCTTCTCCAAGGAAATTATGTACCCTCAATGCTTGCAGTAGAACTAGGAAGACTCCTTTTTAACCACAGTGTTTTACTCCTTCAGAGGGAATAATAATAATTAGGAAAAAATAATCAAGTGACATTTTGTTCTGCTCTCACATGTGTCTCAATGACTAAGAACAAGGTGACGAAGTGATACAGTGCAACCTCTTTGGCCTTCCTGAGAAATTAAGAGCTGTTTGTCAAGCTGGGTGGCTGCAATCTATTTTCCTCCCTTCTTCTCCTTTTCATCTTAAAACAAAAACATTGACAATTTGTAGTATTTCCCGTATGTCCAGATGTATCACTCACAGGGCAGAGTCAGGTTGGCTAATGTCATCCATCCTGCTCTCTCATACATTATTGCAGTTTGTCAGTATTGTTCTGTTCCCTTCTATTCCCTGTCTTCTTTATTCTGCAATATTTTCAGCACTATATTATGAAAACCCTGACTCTTGGATTATGATGCCAACAGCTAGGAATTATTTTTCCTTTTTCAGCAACAAGCTCAGGATCTTTTATCGCTAAATTTTAGGCACATCATACTTGTTGTCCACTAAGGAAAGCCAGGGGTGTTCAATATTTTTTTTTTTTCTTAAGTTAATACCTTGAAGCTTTAACTCAAGTTGAAGTCTGAAGTCCTATTCTTCCACATGAAAGTAGCTTTAATGACAAACTTTTGCTAAAGAACACAGAATTCCCAACCATGGTGACCTACCAGCCAATGTTTTGAGTAACAACTACAAAGGAACACCAAATGACCAAAACAAAACAAAGGACAGGATAAGCTGCACATATTAGCATATTACTAAGAATAGATGCTAAATACCCTAAATACTTTTTTTTTTTTTTTTTTTTCTTTTTCTGAAGCAGAAGTGGCTAGGATTTATCCTGTGGCTAGGATTTAACAAAATCTGATGCTTAAATGAAAAATTCTGGGATCAGTTCAAACTAAGCATTTCCTACCAAACTGACTGCAACTAGTGTCTTGACTTCAGGATCTAAGGTTAGGAAAGGACACTGGTTTCAAGGTGTTTTACTTTCCAAGAAAGGTGGGTTTCCAATGCAGTAGTTTTTCTTGCAGATTCCCTGAGACTCCTGCATGCTTGCAAGAGAGCAACACTGCTGAACTCTGGAAAGGAGAAAAAGAACTGCTCTCTGCCAGCTGGGGTCTGTTAAATTTCCCTTCCCAGCTAAACTTATTTCTGCTGTTGTTATATTCTACTGGCATTAGCTATACTATAAGAAAAGATGTCCTTTCTTGGCCTGTACAAAGAGAAATTTCATTCTCCTGTCTGCACAAAACCACGTTAGCCTCTAAGGCTTTGGTATAAGGCTTTTCTATTTGCCCCCTTTAAAGGTGATATTAGCTACAAAATAGAGGCCAGTTCTGAGAGCAGGAAGACTCTGAAGCTAATGGAAACTGTCCCATGCAACAGTTTCCATTTCAAATGCTGAAATTCCCAAGGAAAAAAAAAAAAAAAAAAAAGCAATTGAAACTTAGCTGCACAACAAAAAGAAAGATTCCTTATAAGGAACAGAAGAGGTTATATCCTCTTTTTTTCCATGAATGATATTAGAATAGAAAATGTCTGACTGGTTTAGTTTGTGTCACAAAGAATGACAAAGAAACACAGAATGAGAAATCTGCAGTGTTGCTAGTTCCTATGATTTCATTATAATTCCTGTGATATTTTGTTCTACCCACTCTGCCCCTACCAGCAACTTCACAAGAATCTCCTGGGTCTGTCTTTTGAAGATCACATTTTATACTTTACAATTACTCAAAGTCTTGAGATTAGGAGCAAACATGCATTAAAATCTCTCTGAAATTACCAGATATATTAAAACACCTTAATGATCATAAAAAAAAATAACTGTTTCACTCTCTCTTTTTTTTTTTTTTAAAAAAAGGAAAAATTCATAATTCAAAAGAAATTTAAGTCATAATCTCTGTATTCTTCAGGTGAAAATTCTGTATCCATCAGATGAAAAAAAAAAAAAACAAACATACAGTGAACTACTGCTCATAGGACTAGAGCCAAGCTGGATCCAAAAATGGCACTAAAGATAGATTAGAATAGAAAATTTCTTAACTCTGAACCACTTCTGGCTACCATTTTTATACCCTGTAAGGAAAGTGAGTGAAGAAAATTATTTTCTCCTCATCTAGAGCCAAACCATAAATATTTCAGTATTTGCTAGCTATATTTAAATATGGAAATTATATATACATATCCATCTCCCTTCAGCCTATGCCAAAGCAGTTTTCTGCTAGAAAATACATGGTATATTATTAATATATTAGATATAAGTAACAGGTACATCCTTTCTCAGCCTGATAAGAATTAGCAGAGTTATTCAGTAACTACTGGAGAGCCACAATCAGAGAACAAAAAGTGGCATACACAGAAAACAGTGGTGTTTTTTTCTCACAACAGATTTTCAGTTAAATTATAAATTGCAAAAATCTCCTTAAAAGAGTCATCCAGATATGGCTCAATCAAGCTAAAAAGTGGGTTAACTAAAAAGTAAATGTAAAAAAAGACAAGATATGAAAATTTCAATAATAATGTGGTTATCAGTACCTGCTAGTCATGTGACAAAAGCCACAAATAAGCATTTTATTTCCTGAGACAGGC